TCCTAAATTTTGGTTTAAGAAAGTGTGCAAGCATGTAATATCTAAATATTATTTAATGAATTCATTGTCTCCACTGCAGTAAAACCATATATTTAGCCCGGCCATGAACCTACCACCAGGATGGTTGAACATTACACTGATAAGGGCATTACCCTGGTTATTCTGTTTTCTTCTCCTGTTTGCAAGGTCACAGTGTTAAAATGACAGCATAAATATAGAAGGGCCCTAAGTGGTTGACCTACTAGCTACACATAAGAACCCCCAATATACAATCTATTACAGCACAGGCAGGTACTAGAGAAGAGAGATTAGATTTTTACAATACCACTGCCATCAAGATTTTTAATTATTAAAATGGGTTGTTAGAAGATGGATTATTACTCAACTAGATATTAAAGGATCACATCACCCTTAGAAGTGGAGGTTTTGCTCCCCCATTCACTCTGTTCCCTGCAGCCCCCTGGGGGAGACACTAGGCTTTTTTGGAGAGCTGGAAGACCACTCTACATATATATTTTACTCAAATTCTTCTTATAATTCTCCTGATCAAGCAGATTTAAAAAATCTGGGAAATGTGTTGAGTAGATTCGATTCCCTTGCATGCTCATTGATGAATTTGATGTACACAGAAGTGTGCGTGAAAACATGTTGAATATGATAGTCAAGCAGTGGGTAATCAGGTTATAGGAGGCGGTTAAAACAATCTAAAAGTAGATTGGAAAATTACTGTAAAATATGTACAAGTGGCCTATGATCAAATATGTATGTAATGTATGAAAGTGTTAAATGCTGTTTTAGGGTTCTTTTAAAAGAATTGTGCAAATAAAATGTGGTAATTTTATAGGAAATTGAGCTTATTTGATTGTTACTAAACATTTGGTATTCTTAAAAAAACTCGTATGTGTTGCATTCTGGTTGTATTCGTATAATTGGGATGATATTACCTTGAGCAATTATATAGGAGACTTGGTTCTTACCATGTGCTATAAATATAGAGACTAGAAAAAAAACATGTATATACAAAGCCATAACATATTCCCTTTATAATGGACTTAAGGCACACTTTACAGTATGGCCCCACACTATTTTCGATGATCAGCTTCTTAAAGATAATAGGAATAAAAGTTCATAAAAATTCCACAGCATTTAGCTTATCTTGGACTAAGACTACAAGACTGGTCCCCTCAGGAGGTCAGCTTCTTCCTTAATTCTTACTCCTTACAGCTGTGACTCTGGGCAGGGCATTTGTGAAGTAGAGGCACTCGCTTTTCCAGAAAAACGCGTAAATTAATCCTTGTAGTTTAAATTTAAAAAAAATCATAATTTTTGTAGTTTTAATGATTTTATTTCTCTATATAATCAATAAATGCTCTACAAAAACCTAAAGACTTTACTGCCTGTGTCCACCAATCATTAGGAGTCTGGGGGGGAGGTGTGCTGTGTTTAAATAAGCTCACAGATATGAGATGATGTTGCCTAACCTGGCCATTCATCTCATGTCTATGGGAGAGCCCTGTTGGCTGGATACTGTCTAAGGCAGGGGTGTCAAACTAGCGGCCCACCAGCTGTTGCGAAACTACAAGTCCTATCATGCCTCTGCCTTTCAGAGCCATGCTTATAACTGTCAATCTTGCAATGCCTCATGGGACTTGTAGTTTGGCAACAGCTGGAGGGCCGCCAGTTTGACACCCGTGGTCTAAGGGAACAACTGATCAGCCAGGATAGACAACAGACCAGGGTTGCCAACTGTCTATAAATTACTGATAATTTGTAAATATCAAGTGATTTATAAACTGTCTGTAAATGTCTGTTACAGATAGTGGCTGCCTGTAAAAATATGGCTGTGGGCCAGGCTTGGACAGAGGGCGCACGCCGCTCGTGACATCATGATGCCTATTATGAATTGCAGCAGGGTCGGGGAAGCAAAGATTCGGGATCAGGAGTGCCACCATCCACCAAGACTGGAGGTGGAGGAGAAGATAGAGTCAGAGGTGGTGATGACTCAAAGCAGAGGAGGAACGAGCCATCTGGACAACTGTCTGACTGAGCCTGCCCTGCACGCATGTGAGTATGCCTTCTTATGGAGGAGGTCAGTGTGACATTACTCCAGCCTCCAACCAGGCCATACTGTCTCTGTGGTGGGGTCACTGATGGAAAGGGGGTGTGAGTACACTAAAAGGGGGGACACTGGTATAAAGGCTCCCCCTTATATCAGTAACTACCCCCCTTACCTTAGTGTATTTACTCTGTGGAAGGTGGTCTCTGGTCATTAGAGCCACACACACACACTCCTGGCATTCCCCCTTAAATCAGTGTCCTCCTAGTTTCCCTTTAAATCAGAGTCTGCAGGATTCCCCCTTACAGTGCAAGGGAGAACTTTGCTGACCCTGATGTAAAGGGGAGCTCTGTTGTAAAGGGGAATGCTGTAGACTCTGATGTAAGGGGGCGGGGGTCTCTGGTGACCAGAGACCACTTTACATCAGAGTTCCCCTTTACACCAGGGTCCGCAGCATTCCCCCTTAAATTATGGTCTACTATGTTCCCTTTAACATCAGGTTTTGCAGAGTTCCCCCATAAGCTGTAAGGGGAAGACTGTGGACTCCTGTGTACATAGAGTTCCCCTTTACATCACAGAAGGTTTGCAGTGTTACCCTTTACATCGGGGTCCACAGAGTTTCCCCTTACACTGTGATGGGGATAGCTGCAAACTCTAATGTAAGGGAGAACTCTGTGTTGGGTTATATTAACCTGACCTACATGATGTAAGGGGAGAACATTTTGGACTGTGATGTAAAGGGGAACTATGGAGTCTCATGTAAGGGGGAACTCTGTGAACTGTGATGTAAAGGGGAGCTCTGTGTACTTTTGTGTAAAGTGGACCCTGGTGACCAGAGACCCCCTAACATCAGAGTTTGCCTTTACACCAGTCTAAAGCATTCCGCCTTACATCAGACTCCACAGATTTCTCCTTTACATCAGAGTCCACGGTGTTCCCTTTTACATTAGGGTCTGCAGAGTTCCCACTTGCACTGTAAAGGGGACCCCTGCAGATTCTGATGTAAGGGGGAACTCTGTGCTGGGTTGTATTAACCTGACCTTCATGTAAAAGGAAAAATATGTATTTTGTTAAACCTTAAGCACATTGACCTAATCACAGTAGCTACATGCTTATAGAAAAAATATCGATATTTTGGCTAAATGTTTTTAACTGTCAGTAAAAATGTGTCCAAGTACATTTTTGTGTGGTGTCAGTAAATATCACTTGGCAACCCTGCAACATGCCTTGATTACTATTGCTCCTGCCCTGAGATCTCTTCCCCTCTCCACTGCCATAAACAGAGATGCTTTGCCAAACAGAACATTCCTTATTAGCATTAGAGAGAGGCTTTGTTTTCTGTTCCTTTTCTGACATTGCCCTGAAAGCATCTGATCAAACTGAGATTGGTTTGATCAGATGCTGTACAAGATGGTAAAGGCTTGTGAACATTATACTGAAACCAGTGATTAAATCCTCATCGTTTCTGGTTTCTTACATCACAGAGAGGAAGCAGGTACAGATTTACCTTCCTCCCCTCTGAACACGCGGCGGCATTACTGGGCTTCCTGATCACACAGGTGAGCCTGGTGAAGGGGGGCACCCTGTAGAAGTGATATACAGGCACTCTGGTCAATTCTACATAAAAGCCTATCATCTGCTGAAAAATTTGATACCAGGATGATGCCTGCAAGTGCAGGCATCATCCCGATATAACCACTTCAACCCAAGGATGCACTGGTATGTCCTAAGGGGTTGAAGTGGTTAATAAGACAACTCCAATCCATGCTGGTTGTTGCCATTATACCTTGTATCTCATTGGCTTCTGTATTCTTGGTTGCTCATTGTTTAATATCCAAATACTCATCTGCCTAATGGGGTTGATTTACTAAAAACTAGAGAGTGGAAGATCTGGTGCAGCTGTGCATGGGAGCCAATCAGCTTCTAGCTTCAGCTTGTTCAACTAATCTTTGACAACAAAAAAACTGGAAGCTGGTTACCTACCATGCACAGCTGCACCAGATTTTGCACTTTCCAGTTTTAGTAAATCAACCACAAAGTCTTCCATCCTCCTCCTCACCACTTCAGTATATATTGAGTGTGCATTCTTTATGTAGTTTGTATACACACAAACATGATCACATAGCTCCTTAGTGATTGCTAAATTTTGAATTCCTTATGCAATGGCTAATAAAGAAATTTGGGGTAGATTTACTAAAATTGGTGCAGTTGTGCATGGTAGCCAATCAGCTTCTAATTTCAGCATGTTCAATAAGCTTTGGTAATAAAACCTGGAAGCTGGTTGGTTTCTATGATTGGTCTATGTAGGCTTGCAACAGATGTTGCAATCTCCAGTTTTAGTAAATCTCCCCCTCAATGTGCTCTGCTTTGGAAGCATGGATTTTAGGGCTGTTGAATTATCCAGTAAATTTTATCTTTTTAACCACTTGCCTACCAGGCACTTATACCCCCTTATTTACCAGGCCAATTTTCAGCTTTCAGCGCTGCCGCACTTTGATTGACAATTGCGCGGTCATGCAACATTGTATCCATATGAAATTTTGATCATTTTTTTCTCACAAATAGAGCTTTCTTTTGGTGGTATTTAATCGCCACTGGTCGCTTTACTTTTTTCGCTATAAATAAAAAAATTGCAAAAAATTTGAAAAAAAAAAGTTTCTTTGTTTCTATTATAAAATTTTTCAAACAGGTATTTTTTCTCCTTCACTGATGTGCGTTGATGAGGCGGCACTGATGGGCACTGGTAGGCGGCACTGATGGGCACTGATAGGCAGCACTAAAGGACACTGATAGGCAGCACTAATGAGGTGGCACGGATAGGCGGCACTGATAGACAGCACTATAGAGGTGTCACGGATAGGCGGCACTAATATGCAGCACTGATAGGCGGCACTGATAGGTGACACTGATGATGGGTACTGATAGACGGCACTGACTGGCATCACTGCTGGGCACGGACTGGCGGCACTGACTGGCACAACCCCTGGGCACTGACTGGTGGCACTGACTGGCAGCACTGCTGGGCTGCACTGGTGGGTGGCACTGGTGGGCAGCACTGGTGGGTGGGCACAGGTGGGTGGCACTGGTGGACACAGGTGGGTGGGCACAGGTGGGTGGCACTGCTGGGCACAGGTAGGTGGCACTTCTGGGCACAGGTGTGTGACACTGCAGAGTGGCACAGGTGGATGCACTGCTGGGCACAGGTGGGTGCACTGCTGGGCGGAGCTAGTGGGCGCACTGCTGGGCACAGGTGGGGCGGAACTTGCGGGTGGCACTGCTGGGCACTGATCATCAGGGCACTGATCATCAGTGCCCTGATGATCGATGCCGATCCCCGCTCTGACAACTGCCGGTTCTCGGCAGTACTTTCCTCACGATCTGACAGCGTGAGGAAAGTGCAGCCGAGAACCGGCACTTGCATTTCCCTCTGATCAGCGTGTCATTGGACATCGCTGATCACGTGGTAAAAGGCCGCTGTGATTGGCCTTTTACCACATCACGTGATGAGCTGTGTCCGTAGGACACAGCGATCACGGAGATCGCCGGGTGCGCGCCCCCTGGGGCGCGCAGGAGAGCGCGTTCTGGGAGGACGTCATATGACGTCCACTCAGAACTGGCCGGCCGCAGTGAAGCCGTCATTCGGCTATCTGCGGTCGGCTACTAGTTAAAGTGGAACCAAACTCTTGCCAGCAACACTAAAGTGGTACTAAAGTCTTTTTTTTTTTAGTTTAATTAACAAACATGTTAAACTCCCCTGCTGTGTGCAGTGGTATTGCACAGAGCAGCCCCAATCCTCCTCTTCTCGGGTCCCCCATCAGTGACCTTGGCTCCTCCACTTCATGTGTTCCCAAAGCAAGCTGTTTGCTATGGGAGCACACGGTGTCTGCTTACTAGAGTGAGCTGTGTGCCTATGGAGCCCCCCCATTTTCTCCTCACTGCATTTGGTTGACAGCTGCAGGATTCAATGGCTCCTGCTGTTGTTCAGGTCCCTGTGTGAAGAGGAAAAGAGGGGTGAAGCCATGCACAGTGCTGGATCTATTCTCCCCTCTCTTCCCTTCACACAGGGAAGGAGGGGGATGGGGAAATAGAAAACATTTTTTACTTTTAAAGTGGTGTTAAAAGTTTGGCTTTTTTAACCATTTCAATGCTGGGCACTTTTACCCCCTTCATGCCCAGGCCAATTTCCAGCTTTCAGCGTCGTTGCACTTTGACTATTGCGTGGTCATGCAACACTGTACCCAAACTAAATTTTGTTCACACAAATAGAGCTTTCTTTTGGTGGTATTTGATTACCACTTTTTATTTTTTGCTAAATAAACTTTTAAAAAAATGAAATTTTGAAGAAAAAAAAAGGTTTTCTTCATTTCTAAAATTTTGCAAATAAATAATTGTTCTTCATAAATTTAGGCCAAAATATATTCTGCTACATTTCTTTGGTGAAAATAAACCAAATCTGTATTTATTAGTCTGTAGGAAAGTTTTACAGTCCATACATTATGTATGTGTGTGTGTGTGTATATATATATTGCGGGGTTAGCTCAGGTGGGGGTGGGGGATCACCTTCCCTGTGAAAAAAGGGTAGACCGCACAGCAGGCTTTCTTAAAATCTGACTGGTTGTCAGCTTTATTTACAGGTTTGCAAAAATGTCAAAACAAACAAAAAACAGCAAAATAAACCCTTGCCATCCAGGCACTAACTAAACATGAAACTTTTCCTCTCTCAGAGGTGAAGGGCTTCTCCTTGTCACCCAAAACAAAAGCAAACCTTTTCTTGTATGTATAGTACACACACAGCTCTCTCAGAATAGCTCTCTGAGTCCCAGGCCACGAGCAACTCCTTGCTCCAGCCTGTCTTATTTAGACCACCTGTGGTGGTTATCAGTAAAGCACAAAATCCGATCCGGAACCACCTCTGCTATTGCGGCCCCGAAAACCCCGAGTGGACTCCACCTTAAACCTCAAAGTATGACCACATAGCGTCCATCTCTATCACCTTGCCGTTCATACTGTCACTATATATATATATATATATATATGTATATATGTATGAAAATTGATCAGTCCTGATGTACTGACAGACAATCTCTTTTTTTGAGGCCCAAAGGTGTCAGGACAGTACAAATACCCCCCAAATTACCCCCTTTTGGAAAATAGTCAGAGGTATTTAGTAAGAGGCATGGCGAGTTTTTTGACGTTGTAATCTTTTGTCATAATTTTTTGGAAAAGGAAGAAATTAAAAAAAAGTTTGCAATTTTTGTCACCAGTGTAGTACAGCGTCATCATATAACTGGTGTGGCGGTGATCAGGGACATTGGATTTCATTGCTATAAACAAGCATTTTACTGAATGTATTTGATTAATTCAGTTTGTTTTGTTGTGATTTGCTGTGATTGGCCACAGCTGATCATGTGACTTAGATGGGCTGTGATTGGCCCAGCCTGTACCATGTGATCACTGTGACCAATCACAGCTAGCAACACAATTGTATACAATGGAAGGCATGAAAGTTATTCACTCCCTTGTCATATCACTCCCTTGTCATATCACGCCTCGACTATTGTAACTCCCTCCTCATTGGCCTACCTCATCGCAGGCTATCCCTCCTCCAGTCTATCACGAACGCTGCTGCCAGACTCATCCACCTCACTGACCATTCTGTTTCTGCCACCCCTCTCTGCAAATTCCTCCACTGGCTCCCAGTTGCCCAACGGATAAAATTCAAAACACTAACAATGACATATAAAGCCATCCACAACACTGCCCCAATTTACATCTTATCTCTAAATATCACCCAAACCATACACTCCACTCCTCGCAAGACCTCCTACTCTCTAGCTCCCTTATCTCCTCCTCCCATGCTCATCTCCAAGACTTCTCCAGGGCATCACCCATCCTCTGGAACTCGCTACCACAATCTATCAGACTATCGTCTACTCTACTTACGTTTAAGCGATCACTGAAAACCTATCTCTTCAGGGAAGCCTATCCCGCCCTCTGCTAATACTGGATTCCTTTACTCTTCCAACCACTCCATCCCCCACAGTTACTACCTTTTGTACCACTAGCCCTTCCCTCCTAGATTGTAAGCTCCAAGGAGCAGGGCCCTCAAATCCCTCTTGTATTAAACTGTATTGTTACTGTATTGTCTCCCACTATAATGTATAGTGCTGAGCAAACCGTTGGCGCTATATAAATCCTGTATAATAATAATGAAAGGAAGCCATCCATTGGTTACAGTTGTCATGTGACCTGCAGTGATTGGTTACATGGTACCGCCAACAGGCCACAGTACACAGATCAGTCATCGGCTGTGTTCGATGGACACAGCCAGTGACAGATCTTGCCATCATATGATGTCCATCCGGATTGAAGAAAGTCCTGCCCAGCAGTCATTTTACTATAGGTAGGGTGGGAACTGGTTAAAAATAAAAAACAGCAAAGATGTCATACTTACTGCTTTGTGCAATGGTTTTGCTCAGAGCACCCCGATCCTCTTCTTGGGTCCCCCTGCCAGTGTTCCTGGCTCCTCGCCCTTGACCAGTGCCCTCAATAGCAAGCCGCTTGATATGTGGGCACTGGTGTGTGCTTACTCCCGAGCCCAGCTCTATGCGTCCATAAGACACATAGAGCCATGGCTCTGCCCCTCCCAACCCCCTGCTCTCTCCTCATTGGCTCACTGGCCGTAATTGACAGCAGTGGGAGCCAATGGCTTCCGCTGCTGTCTCAGCCAATGAGGAGAGGGAGTCCCGGGATATCCGAGGCTCTCGTGCACAGCACTGGATTGAGAGGGGGTTCGGATAAGTATTAGAGAGGCTGTGGGGGAGCAGCACACACAAGTTTTTTTACCATCATGCATAGAATGCATGAAGGTAAGAAACCTTCAGTCTTTACAATCACTTTAATGCATTAAGGTAAAAAAAAAAAATGTTAGCTTTAGTGTCACTTTAGCTATTTTAATCCATATGCTGCTAGCATTTTCACATTTACATTTTACATTTCTTCCATTACTTCCTGGTTTCTGGTTTAGACCAAAACAATGTCATACCTCTCATGAGGGCATTTATTTTCTTCCATCTGGAGGAGAGGAGGGACTTTCTTAGCTGAGCACACTCTCCTGCCTGCATGCCTGAGGTAAAGGCACATGGATTACAGGAAATAATCACTAGGAGGTGTTTTGCAAAATGATTTCCCAACAAAATAAAGCATGGTGTAAGAAAAGTCCAGTACGTATTGGAACTAGAAGACTATTGCTTGCTCATAATTCAGAGCAAATGCTCATTACAAGATGGGCATTGGCGTGCACGCGCAAATGTATTACCGTGCACATGTGCATGCATGAGCCTGTACTGGCATTGGCACCTGAACAGATTGCCGAGTGATCTTTAGCTAGTTCCTGCTTTACCTGCACACTGACCTGCTATTTTTGCCCTCCCATGCATGACCTGACATGCTCCTGACCTGCCTCAGGATTCCTGCCTGCCTGTTGTGACCTCAGTTTGTACTCTGACTCTGCTCCTATCCCACGTTCCTGTACCTCACAGCCCTGCTGTGTACCAATCCTGGCTTGTATTCCTACTCTGCCTCTGTCTGTTGTTCCTGTACCTCTCTGCCCAGCTGCTGATGACCCATTGGCTTGTGTCCTAGCTATGCTGCTGTCTGCCGATCAAGTGTCACTGTGTTCCTGTCTGATGATCCAGGGTCATCTGCATCCACACCAGCTGTTACAGCCCCCTACACTGGCCCTTGTTCAACTCTGTATCCTTACACCTCCTGTTAAGATAAGAGATTCAAGAGAAAGCCCCCTCTCCAGCTTGATCTCAACCATGTATGTGACACATGGAGACAGGGATGGATGGTCGAGTTTGCTTTGAATATAAATAAAATGAATTTAAATAGTGTTTTCAGTTTGTGATGCTCAGATACAGTTTATTTTCACTTTATCCCTTGATTCCTGTTGACGGAAATGAACTATTTAACCACTTGACCTTCGAAAGATTTACCCCCATCATGACCAGGCCATTTTTTCCTGCAATACTTTAACTGACAATTGCGCGGTCATGCAACTTAATATTGTAAATAAAATAAATGTTTGTCATCTTTTTCCCCACAAATTTCAAATCTACAAATGGAGGTATATATACTTTTTTTTTTCATACTAGTAATGGCAGCAATCAGAGACTTATAACAGGACCGCTATAATGAGGCAGACAGTCTGACACTAACTGTCACTTTGTGGGAACCACTGACACTAATACAGTGATCAGTGCTAAAAAATATACACGGTCACTGTATTATTGACCCTGGCAGAGAAGGGGTTACACATCTAGGGTGATCAAAGGGTTAATTGTGTGTCTAACCAGTGTTTTTATTTAGGGAATAAAATCTAGCAGATCGCCACTGACAGAACACAGCTCTGCCTTGCTTACATTGGAAGAGCTGTGTTCTGTCAGTCTTCTTGGCGATTAAGGGGTGTCGGCGCTCATCCATTGACTGGCACCTGTTGATCGGCTTCTGCTGTGTCCAATCACAGCAGAAGCAGTGCTCTGGTGGCAGACACACGCGCTCCTGTA